GGAGGATCCGGTTTGTTTGAGCAACCGGTTGAGTGTATGATTTTTGGGGTAAGGTGTTTGAGTTAAATAGAATTCGAGCCACTTAGCCTATATTTATCCTACCTATCCAAATAGCCTACGTTACAACCTGGAACGACCTTTTGATGCACTAGTTTCGATTTTGATTGATTTAGAGTAGAAGTTAGACAATGGGCAAGCATATGAATGAACTTGTTATCGCCCAATTTGAGTGAACCTATCTTTATCTGTATAAGAATTTGAGTGAGACACACATATATATATTCCCATACTTGAGAGAACGCCAAATCGGAGTATAGAGATCAAGCATGTAGTTGTGTAACGTTCGTATGTGCCATTTGAATGCTCGTTGTTGAAGTTGAACATTTTGAAGCTTATCTTGTTAATGATTGTTGTCCATGCTCGATTTTTTAGTTTTGTGTCTTTTCTTTTCTTTTCTTTTCTTTTCTTTTCTTTTCTTTTTGTTCGGGACGAACAAAGGTTTAAGTGTGGGAGAGTTGTTTGTCCCATTTTTGTTGCGTTTTTTGTGTTTATTTTATCTTTCTTTTTCCACCCCGTTTGAGGTCTTTTCTTTAGTTTTTAGTCTGTTTATTGGTTTATGATATGTTTTCCTACATTTTGAGTCTTCATGTGTTTTTTGTTTGTTTTTCCGGTTTTCTTTGGTGTTTTGTCGTTTTTGGTGTGTAGGTCGAAAGATTCGGGCGAATTTTCTCTTCAGGAAAAGTTATTTTTGAGAGCATAACTGGATAGAGTGGTTCGTTAGCAATGCATAGGAAAAAACTAAACTCAATTCCGAGTTCGGACGAGCTCAAACGAGGCGAAAACGCAAAATGGCGCAGTGCAGCCCAGAATCTCGCGAGTCGCGTGTTTTAGTCGCGACTCGCCAGAGAAAGTCGCGACTCGCGACTGTAACAGAGCCTCCAGCAGCCCAGCGACCCGTCCAACTCGCGACTCGCGAGTCAACTCGCGAGTCGCGACCCTGTCGACCCCTGTTTTTATTTTTGCTCGTTTTTACTCGTTTTAGCTCCGTTTTTCGCGCACTATATATCAAAACGAACCTCCAGACCTAAGGAACAATCCCCAATATCTTTCATTTGATGTTTTCTCTCCAAAAACTCAATATTGTTAGGATCATTTTCTCTGCTTTTCTTTTTATCTTCTCATGCTTGGATTGTTGGACACAAAGACATTTGGATTGAAATCTTTCGAGTCTTAATCCGATTGTAAGTTTTTCAATTCTATTTTATTATTGTTGATTGGTTTAATATTTTTAAATCCAGTTAACATGAGATTGAATCTAAGCATGAGGTAATCCATTCACCTAGGGTTAGGGATTTTGATTCTTGTTTGAATTATGTGGAATGTGTTTTGTTCAATCTATGCGAGTTGTGTGAATTATAGGGTTAGTTGATTGATCACCATTCTAACCTAGGTAATCGACGTTTAGAACCGAGAGAGGAGATGTCGGTCGATTTAGGCTCGTATAGAGTAGACTTGTTCGAAAACGTATTGTCTATGTGTTGCTTGTTTGAATGAGTTTATCGTTTATGTATGTGCTCTTGTTACGAAGAGTTATTGAGCATATCCCTCTAGACGTGTAGGCTTGTTAAATCTCGTAACCGAACAAATAATCGTTCAACATAGTTTGAAACTTGATGAGATTTTCCAACCCCTAGAACTTCTTCCTTTTCTCTAGAGATTTAATTGTTATTTCTTTAAATTGTTTTTCTAGTTTTGACTTGTTTAGTTAATTCTCCAAATCAACCATGATTAGAATGTTTAGGATTTATTTTCTTTTCGTGTGTGATCAATACCAACGCTAAATTCCGAAACGTCTTCCTTGAGAGATCGACCCGGGGAACGAATCTTTTGATTCGGTTCTCGGTAAATATAAAAATAATTTGCTACAACAAGTGCTACGCAATTTTGCTTCTTACTAAGCCAGGAGATGAGATTATTGCCAATGTAGAAACAACCACCAGAGATGGTACGTCGATCATCGACGTTCCCAGCCCAATCTACATAACTATAACCTGCAAGACTAGAAGATGTGTCTCGTGAGTACAGAATACCCAAGTCAGATGTACCATGCACATACTTGATGATGTGCTTCACCGCCTTCAAGTGCGATTCTTTAGGATTAGCTTGGTACCGAGCACACATCCCTACACTGAAACACATGTTAGGTCTACTGGCAGTCAAGTAAAGCAAACTACCAATCATGCTTCTATAAAGCGTGGAATCAACTGAAGTTCCAGCATCATCCTTGGATAGCTTAGAGTGGCTTCCCATAGGAGTTGCTGGACACTTAGACTTTTCTAGACCAAATTTTCTCACTAGATTTTTGGCATACTTGGTCTGATGAAGAAATATCCCCTCCTTGGATTGCTTAACTTGCAAACCCAAGAAGTAGGACATCTCTCCTACCATGCTCATCTCAAATTCTTTAGACATGTGAGTATCAAATTCATTGACCCAAGTTCTCGAGGTAGAACCAAAGATAATATCATCTACATAAATATGTACAATGATAATATCTTTATTAGACTTTCTAACAAAAAGAGTTTTATCAACTCCCCCTCGAGAGTACCCCATTTTGACCAAAAACTGGGTTAGACGTTCGTACCAGGCACGTGGAGCCTGTTTAAGTCTGTACAACGCCTTCTTTAACCTGTAAACATGGTCAGGGTGATGAGGGTCTACAAACCCTTCAGGTTTCTTAACATAAGCAACCTCTTTCAAAAAGCCATTCAAAAATGCAGATTTTACATCCATTTGATAAATTACAAAACCAAGCAAACATGCGATAGATAAGAACATTCTAACAGACTCTATCCGAGCTACAGGGGCAAATGTCTCATCAAAGTCAACACCCTCCTCTTGGGTGTACCCCTGAGCTACAAGGCGGGCCTTATTCCTAGTAATCTCTCCTGATTCATCCGTTTTATTTTTAAAAATCCATTTTGTTCCAATGACGTTCGAATCAGAAGGTCTAGGGACAAGTTCCCACACATCGTTTCTCACAAACTGTTCAACTTCTTTTTGCATAGCCTGAACCCAAAAATCATCACACAGGGCTTCTTTAGCATTTTTCGGTTCCACCTCAGTCACATAACATGCAAGTTGACACAAACCAACAATCTTACGAAAATCAAGTTTAATCCCTCTAGTGTTACGTTCAGATATACCTCCTATGATTTGATCCTTAGGATGATCCTTCTGAATCTTGGCAGAAGGATCTCGCCGAGATTCATCAAGATTTCCGGAGGATGTTGGAACAGCATATTCATTAGACTCCTCAGTTTTATCATATTCAAAGGTTTCAGACTTAACATCATTTAGCACATTCACAATTTCAGAATTTGACAGTTTCTTACTATTGGACACATCTATGTTGATCACATCAGGTACAACAGCACATTCAAGAGCATCATCAAAAACAACATTTATAGATTCCATAACCACCTCAGTGCGCAAATTATACACACGGTAAGCACGGTTGTTAGCAGAGTAACCAAGGAATTGACCTACATCACTCTTGGACTCAAACTTACCAAGGTGTTCTCTGTCATTGTAGATGTAGCACTTGCACCCAAAGATGTGAAAATATTTCACATTTGGTGCTTTACCTTTCCACATTTCATTTGAAGTTAATTTGGTTCCCTTCCTGCAATACACACGGTTAATTATATGGCATGCCGTGTTCACCGCCTCTGCCCACCATCTTAAGGACATACCTTGCGACACTAGCATTACTCTTGCCATTTCTTGAAGGGTCCTGTTCTTACGCTCCACAACTCCATTCTGCTGTGGAGTGATGGGGGAAGAAAACTGGTGAAATATACCACGCGATTCACAAAATAACTCAAAACCACGGTTCTCAAATTCCTTACGATGGTCACTCCTGATTGCCACGAGGTTGGTGCGTTTTTCATTTTCAAGTTTTAACACGAGTTTTTTGAAAGCATCAAGTGCTTCAGACTTATCTTTAAGAAAGTCGACCCAAGAAAATCTAGAAAAATCATCCACACAGACTAGAATATACTTCTTACCACTGTAGCTTTCGACCTGAATTGGTCCCATCAGGTCCATGTGGATCAGTTCCATTACACGGTTTGTACTGACCTCTGTCAACCTCTTATGCGAAGCCCTTTTCTATTTGCCCATTTGACATGATCCGCAAACTCATGGTTCTTCCTTCTTCAACTTGGGCAATCCTCGAACAGCCCCTATGGAAGAGAGTTCAATCAGGTGAGGATAATTAATGTGACCTAGCTTTTGATGCCAGAGTTCAGTCAAATCAATACTGGTTTTGTTACATTTCAAATCAAGTTCCACAAGATAACAGTTATCCCTGGACCTAGTACCAGTAAGAACATGTTTATTTTCTTGATCAGACACATGACACTGAGTCTTAGTAAAATTCACATACAAACCCTGGTCACATAATTGACTGATACTCAGAAGATTGGCTTTCCAGTTTTAAACCAAAAGAACATTTTTAAGTCTGCGCAAACCAGGAACATTCATTCACCCTACTCCAAGAACCTTATTCTTTGCTCCATCACCGAAAGTTACTGAACTAGAAGAGACAGGCATAATATTGGTCAAGTTAGACCTCAAACCTGTCATATGACGAGAGCATCCACTATCAAAATACCAGTCAGAGTTAGAGGTGGATTTCAATGCAAGTATGGAAGACAGACATACGTTCTTACGTTCCTTGGGAACCTAGATATTTTTCTGTTCATGATTTACTATATCAACTTTCAATTTAGGTGCTTTCAGGAGAACACCATGAGGACTCCAGTCATTAATTCGACCCGTGTATATATCATTATGCATTCTGTAACACTTAGTAGAGTGGGTTGAATCAAATCGTTTGCATAGAGAGGGTATAGCGATAACCAAAGCTGACTGTACTAGAAACTTGAGATCCTGTATAGGCAACATGCCTTAGAATAGTGTATTGAACTACAGGACATGAATAACCCATAATCATTGACGAAGAAGGCTTGGAAAAGGATATAACATATTGAAGAGAAGCTTTCTAAAAGGCCAATAGCCTCGATACCTAACAGGTACAAATACAAAGACAGGGAAAGAGATAGACAAAACAAAGGAAAAGAGCACCCACCCACAGTAGTGACAAACGGGTACAAAGTTCTTACCAGTATTCTTATGCTGAGCGTTTGGGGAGTATGGCTTACCTTTCTTGGAGTCAATTGAGTATCCTTATTTAACGAAAGTTAGATCAGCCTTACTCAGTTATGAGGTTGATTCTCCAACCTTCCCTTTTCGTTTCTGGTTCTGGACATTCTTACTTGGGTTGGATGAACCAATCTGCTGACTCAGTTTTTGAACTTCAGCATATGACGCCCTTGGCTTGTTGATCATTCGGACAACATCTTCACTCTTACTAAGCCTTTCTTCAAGGGTAGAACAGTGACTCCAAAGTGCCACATGTTCCTCCATTACACGCCCGAGTTCTTCCTTGAGAACAACTATTTCAGTTTCTCTTTCACCTGCAAGACTTTGCATAGCAAACAATTCGTTATGCAGAGATTCGATGGTAAAATTTTGTTCTTCACTTGCCTGTTTGTTGAGTTTATCTCCATGCTCAACAAGTGCAAGTTTTGCGAAACAGCTGTTTAGGTCCTTGTCTTGTTTTCCAATGTGAAGGTCTGATTTGATGAGTTTCTCGTTCAGATCAACAGTCATCACCCTCATCTTCTGAAGTTCGATCTGGAGATAGTCAATCTCCTTTTCACGTTCGACAGAACGTTGTTCCATATCCTTCATCTTCTGTTTTTGAGCCTGATACTTGTTGATGATGTCCCTTGCCTTGAGACACTTTTCGATGGCGTACTTTTGAAGTACAAGATTTTCGGCAGCTGGGTCCGAGAATTCATCAGAGTCCACCTCACTCAAGTTTTTTGCATAAGAACCTGCATCAGATTCAACATCAGGTAGATGAACAGAGGAAGTAAAACAGTTATATTCATTAAGAAGACATTTTGCAGAATTATTAGAGTAGTTAGAGTTCTCAGTCTTTTCAGATTCTCCCTCCTCGTCATCACTAGAATCAGACCATGTAGCCTTGAACGTCTTGTTCTTCTTCTTGAAGTTAGGACATTCTTTTTGAAAGTGACCGAATCCCCTGCATTCACGACATTGATCTTTTTCAACACCCTGGTTCAAGTTCTGAGATTTGCTCAGTTGCATGCTAGAACGTTTTTCTCCAAATTGCTGAAGCTGGTTCCTACCACTTTCAAAGGATTTATTTCCCTGGAACCTTTTCTTCTGGAACTTTTTTAGCTTCGAGACATTATTGGTGAGAACAGTGAGAGCCTTGGTGGTTTCATCAGGATCAAAAGATTCCTCATCGGATTCTTCATCTTCAGCTACTGAAGTACGCACCTTGGCCTTTAACGCTAAGCCTTTCCCTTTGCTTATCCTCATAGAATCAAATCCATGATTGATTTCAAAAGTGCGAAGCTCACTGAGAAGGTCATCAATACCAAGTTTCTGAATTCTTTGAAATCTTTGTAGTGCTGTAATCTTGATCCCAAACCTATCTGGTAGAGTTCTCATTAATTTCTGAACTTGTCTAGCTTCTGGGACCGGTTCACCAAGCATAGCACTTCGGTTTACTAGATCGCAGAACTGAGCATAGTACATGTCAATGGTTTCTTCCTCCCTCATACGGATCTCATCGAGCTCAGTTGAGACTCTTTGGAGCTTTGACGTTTTAACCGCGTTTGTGCCTTCAAACTGTCTTTCCAAGATCCTCCAAGCTTCTTGAGCGGTAGTGCACTGAATTATTATCTTGTGCCGGGTGGGATCTACAGCAGACATGATAGCATATAGAGCTCAAAAATTAGCCTCTTCTGCTTGCTTTTCATTGTCGGTCCAGATACTCCTTGGTTTTTCAACCAGTACTTTGGTCTCACCGCCCTTAGTTTCAGCAGGAACATTTTCTTGGAGGGGTAAAGTCCAACCATTCTCAACAGCCTGCCATGTGCCTTTACCAAGAGATCGAAGGAAGATCACCATCATGGATTTCCAGTACGAGTAGTTGGAACCATCAAGAAACGGAGGGCGCGTAACAGACATCCTATCATGACTCATGGTGCCCAATACACAGTCCCAAAGATCTTTATCCTGTAGTTAGAACAGGATCACTGCTCTGGTGCCAATTGAAACGTATAATTATCACGGAGTGTGCTATTTGTAGTACGAACTAAATTAAGAACTGTAGAATGCGGAAGCAGTAAACCGAAGATTTTAAAAACTCTTCAGGGAAGTATCCCACTTCCCCTCAGAGCTCTTTCATTGATAGATCAAACACGAACATAGTTTGGACTTACAAAGACTCGAACTCCCTTCAAGCCTAGCCAACACTACTCAGATCCTATCAACTATTTCTCCGGCCACGTCCGTGGATTTTTTATCCTACACTTTCTAAGTGTAAAAGAAAAAATAGTTTGATGAAAACAAAGAAACTAAACAAAAAAACAGCTTCAGTCCTTGAGTGTGTAAGAACTCTCGTACTGAACTGTGTACAACTGAATAGAACAGAAAATATGAAGCTCGAGTATTGCTCTAAAAATCTCTCTGACTTCAGCAGCCGCAATAGGAGCTTCTTCTAGGGTATTTATATAAACTCCTTAGGGTTGGAGTCTTCTACAAGGCATAGGACTCCAAGCTTGATTTCCTTTCATAATTGTAGCTTAACTTTGGTAAGTGAATCTTCCATTCTCTCTCTCCTTGATCCCCTAGCTATGCACGACTCTTCCTTTCTTTACCTCTATCACGTCCGATTTCCTACAAAATAAAATACCATAATAAGACCCATAATATCTTATATATGGAATATAAAATAAACTCAATTAAGGAAATAAAATATTTGAAGATCTTCCCTTTTTCTGTGGTTCCAGGTGCTTGTTCGAACTAACGAACTAATGCCAAATAAAAATATCTTTCATGTACAATATTATGTACCTATAGCATTACTCTAAATTTATATATCAAAGGAGATTTTACATCGACCGTCTCACAATATACAAGAGCTGAAAACTTTCCTTTTGCTTTGTAGGGTATCTCTATCTCATGTTCTGGTTTTTTTGAGCTATTGTGTAACAATTTCTTTTTAAATCCTCTTGCATTCTTTTGGATTCTCTTGTTGAGGGTTTAATGATTGGCTGTGACACAACTATTCCAACTCCAAGAGATCGTTTTGTGGATGTCAATGTTGTTCACACAAAACATTGCGACTGAATGAACTCACACACATTTCTGTTCGCGTTAGTTTGAATTACTCGACCCGACATCTCACTTGTGCTTAGTTATTCGAAGTATATGATATAGTCTTTGGTTTTCACATGTTGAGTCGTCCAGTAAAAGCCACACGATGATGCATCTCATTCAACTAATACATCTGCACATTAAGCAACCAGTGCAACACTGATTTAAGAAACTTAGACATCTGTTGATTTTTGTAATAATAAACATTCTATTTTTTTTTAATTCGTTAGTCAAAAGTTAAATACAGTACTTAAAAATATATATAATACAATTTTTTTTCTTTTTTTTTTCTTTTTTTTTTATATAAACATCCCATATTGGATGGGGGGTTGAGGCTACACCCCCGACCTGTGAATATAATGGCCCAGAAGGACTAAAAAAAGTCAATGGTCTACATCAAAGTCGAAAATACAAAGGGCAACATAAAAAACAGAAAAATAAAAAATAGAAAGTACAAGGATCACAAAAATATTCGATGTGGATCTAAAATCAAGCCCTAAAAAAAGGTCGTCCTAGTCAGAGTGACCTGGCATGGGGTCCAAAATGTCAGATCTAGTCAGGGGCAGGTGGTGGCAGTCGACCAAATCTGAAAGATGGGTACTCTAGCTGGTCCATCCGATTGAGCGTCCGAAGCCGGAGGGGAATGTCCTCAGAAAGAAGAGTGCGTCTCTAGGGTATAGCTGCCCCCGTGCTAGCAAGGAAATCAGCGGGCCGATTCCCCTCCCGGAATATGTGTGAGATCTGGTAATGGATCGAACAGAGGGTGTCTCTGATGCGCATAAGAGGATGCTAGATCTGCTATGAGCCCTGGTGGTCAGATGTCAAAAGTGTGATGACAGCTGCAACATCCATCTCTATCCAGATATGGGAGGAGATCGAGGCGGCAATCTCAAGACCAATCTGGAGTGCCTGAATCTCTGCATCATAACTCGAGGAGGCCCGTAGTGGCCCATGGAAGGCATAGATGAGTGCCCCAACATGATCCCTAATCAGGCCCCCTCCTCTAGTAGCTCCGGTATGTGTGTCGAAAGCGCCATCAGTGTTTAGCTTAACCCAAGGGGCTTTGGGTTTCAGCCAAACAACGGTCCTGGGTCGTGGATGCTGGACATGTAAAGGAGGTGGTGGCCCGGTGGGACAGTGTACACCTTGTCCAGTCTCTCGTCGTGACTCTACCCGGGGCGGTGAGGAGAGAGAGGTGTCTGTCAACCTGCAAAATAATATGAGCACAAGAAAATATAATATCCCTATGCTTCGCATTATTCCTTTCTGTCCAGGTGGCCTATAGGATCAGACAAGGAATATAGAAGCCCACGTGTCTACTGTGTGTGCGGTGTGAGAAAAAACTCAGAAGCTCAAAAAAACTGTCTG